TTTTTATCTTTTTTTATTAACTCGAAAACACTATCATCATGGTTTTTTTTTTTTTTTTCCTCTGGATTTTCTCCATTTAATGCAATCTGACATATTTGTTTTATTTTTTTTTGTACTGATTTTTTTTTTTTTTTCTTTCGTCCTCATGATTTTGCAGGTTGAATAAGGCCAAAGAAGGGATCAGTTTAAAGTTTTTGGTTTCATTCTTTTTGTAGTCTTGAGAGAGCTCAAACAAAAAAAAATAAAACTAAACACAAAGAGAGAGTTTTTGAAAAATCCACAAAAAACAATGCCGATTAGGCAAATGAAAGATAGCTATGAGACTCACTTAGTCATAAAAACCCAACCTTTAAAGAACCATAACCCCAAAACCACCGTTCAAAACGGCAAAATCACTCCTCTTACTCCGGTGACGACGACGACGGCGACTCCGGCGAATGGTCAGAGTCAAGCTTCTTCACCTTCACCGCCGTCGAAGAATCGTGGACGGAGGAGGAATCGTGGTGGGAGAAAATCTGATCAGGGTGATGTTTGTATGAGACCTAGCTCTCGTCCTCGTAAACCACCACCACCACCGAGTCAAACTACTTCTTCAGCCGTTGTTGCAGCAGCAGCTTCCGCCGGAGAGATTGTTGCCGTGAATCATCAGATGCAGATGGGTGTTCGTAAAAACTCGAACTTTGCGCCAAGACCTGGTTTTGGAACACTTGGGACTAGATGCATTGTTAAAGCTAACCATTTCCTCGCTGATTTGCCCACTAAGGATTTGAATCAGTATGATGTAAGTTTTATTTAGAAAAAAGTTGTGATTTTTACTTTCTTTTTATAGTTTTTGCTCTAATGAGAAATAAAGCTTCAAACTTTGGAAGATTTAATGAGAGAGAGAGAGAGATTTTAATGTTTGTTCTTATTGCTTATTTGGGTCCATTGGTTATGATTTGTGCAGGTTACAATAACTCCTGAAGTGTCATCAAAGAGTGTAAACAGAGCTATAATTGCTGAGTTAGTGAGACTATACAAAGAGTCTGATCTTGGGACGAGGCTTCCTGCTTATGATGGCCGGAAGAGTCTTTACACAGCCGGAGAGCTTCCTTTCACTTGGAAGGAGTTTACTGTTAAGATTGTTGATGAAGATGATGGAATCATCAATGGCCCTAAGTAAGTGTTTTTCAAACTTTGGGGTTATTTTAGGTTTATGAGTGTGTGTGTGTTTTGACACATTTTGTTTTGTAGAAGGGAGAGGTCATATAAGGTGGCTATCAAGTTTGTTGCACGGGCCAATATGCATCACTTAGGAGAGTTTCTAGCTGGTAAACGCGCAGATTGTCCGCAAGAGGCGTTGCAGATTCTTGACATTGTACTTAGGGAATTATCGGTTAAAAGGTTTTGTCCCGTTGGAAGATCTTTCTTTTCGCCTGATATTAGAACACCGCAGCGACTCGGTGAAGGGTTAGAGTCATGGTGTGGGTTTTACCAGAGTATTAGACCAACTCAAATGGGTTTATCACTTAATATTGGTAAAAGTTTGACTTAAGAGAGTTTGTAGATATGGCTTCAGCGGCCTTTATAAGTCAAGACAATCTTAATGTTATTCTCCTTACTTTATAGATATGGCTTCAGCTGCTTTTATTGAGCCTCTTCCGGTGATAGAGTTTGTAGCACAGCTTCTTGGAAAGGATGTTTTGTCGAAGCCGTTGTCTGATTCTGATCGGGTTAAGGTACTATTCTCTTCATCATATTATCTCTTGTCTTTAAGCCTTTGATTGTTCTCTTAAGTTATAAGAATGTTTGTATTCTTTGGAAAATTGTACAGATTAAGAAGGGTCTCAGGGGAGTGAAAGTAGAGGTTACTCACAGAGCGAACGTAAGAAGGAAATACCGTGTTGCTGGTTTAACAACTCAACCAACAAGAGAGCTAATGTGAGCTGTTTTTTTCTCTTCTTAATTACTCTCTGATCAGTAAGACTGGTTTCATCAAAGATTAATCAAGTTTTCTGGTTTACATCCTTAGGTTTCCAGTTGATGAAAACTGTACGATGAAGTCGGTTATTGAGTATTTCCAAGAGATGTATGGTTTTACGATTCAGCACACGCATTTGCCATGTCTTCAAGTTGGAAACCAAAAGAAGGCAAGCTATTTGCCAATGGAGGTAAACTGTTTTTTGTTTGTTTCAAGGCTTCACATTTAAATTTTTGGCTCTTTTTGCTGATTCAATTTTGTATGTAGGCATGCAAAATTGTTGAGGGACAACGGTACACAAAAAGGTTGAATGAGAAGCAGATTACTGCACTCTTGAAAGTTACATGCCAAAGGCCAAGGGACAGAGAAAACGATATTTTGCGGGTAATTTTATACTCATGTATCTTTTATGGTTCTTTGTCAGTTAGAAGTAAGGATTAATCTTTGTATCCAATTTTGTTGAAAGACTGTCCAACACAACGCATATGATCAAGATCCATATGCAAAGGAGTTTGGCATGAACATAAGTGAAAAGTTAGCTTCTGTTGAAGCTCGGATTCTTCCAGCTCCATGGGTAAAGACACTAAACAAATCTCTGAATTTTCTCAAACTAAGATAATACTGTTATGCTAATTTGTCTCTCTTTGTTTGCTACAGCTTAAGTATCATGAGAATGGGAAAGAGAAAGATTGTCTCCCGCAAGTCGGTCAGTGGAATATGATGAACAAGAAAATGATTAACGGGATGACGGTGAGCAGATGGGCCTGTGTTAACTTCTCACGTAGCGTACAAGAAAATGTTGCTCGTGGATTTTGTAATGAACTTGGTCAGATGTGTGAAGTCTCAGGCATGGTAATAATATAGTCATCTTTTATTTTCTTGCTGCATTGTTTGAATTCTCTTTAACTGAAAGTGATTCTGATCAGGAAACTTTTCCTCGTTCATTGTTGTAGGAGTTTAATCCGGAACCCGTGATCCCAATATATAGTGCGAGGCCCGATCAAGTCGAGAAAGCCCTAAAGCATGTTTATCACACTGCAATGAACAAAACCAAAGGCAAAGAGTTAGAGCTCCTGTTGGCAATCTTACCTGATAACAACGGTTCACTTTATGGTATTACTATTATTTTGACATCCGTAATCCTAAATCTTCTTGTCTTAAGTATGATTATGACAAAAACGAGATGCTTCTTGTTATCTCAGGTGATCTTAAGAGAATCTGTGAAACTGAGCTTGGTTTGATATCTCAATGTTGTCTCACAAAACATGTGTTCAAGATTAGCAAACAGTATCTGGCAAATGTGTCTCTTAAAATCAATGTCAAGGTGAGAACCTTTTATAGCTGGATTGTTTTTTTTTTGGTTCTCGCATTATGAATCTCAGATATTTCTATGTTTGTATTTCAGATGGGAGGAAGGAACACAGTTCTATTAGACGCCATTAGCTGTAGGATTCCCCTGGTTAGCGATATACCGACAATCATATTTGGTGCAGACGTAACGCACCCAGAGAACGGGGAAGAATCGAGCCCTTCAATCGCTGCTGTAAGAATTATACAACAACTGAATTATACACTTTTATCAAGTAGTAAAACATTGAAATTCATTAGTCCCCGTTTTGTTTTTTTTAGGTTGTTGCTTCTCAAGACTGGCCTGAAGTCACAAAATATGCAGGTTTAGTTTGTGCTCAAGCTCACAGGCAAGAACTTATACAAGATTTGTATAAAACATGGCAAGATCCTGTGCGTGGCACTGTTAGTGGCGGTATGATCAGGTAATAAATCGCATTATTTCAGCTTCGGTAGTTTGATCTTAGCGGTGTATCTGATGTTTTATTTTTTGCTTTCTACAGGGACCTTCTGATCTCATTTAGGAAAGCAACAGGGCAGAAACCGCTTCGAATTATCTTTTACCGGTAGGTTTCTCTTTGCTCATTTCAGTAAAAGCATTCAAATGTAAAAATCAAAAGTTGTTCTCATTGGTGTTTACCGTTTTATTCGCATAGTGATGGAGTAAGCGAAGGACAATTCTATCAAGTTTTACTCTATGAGTTGGATGCAATTCGAAAGGTAATTAACTTTTATGCGTAGCTTGAATAGATTTCCCCGAATTGTCAGCAAATCATTTACATAATTCACTATTGGAACCGGTTTTTGTTTGTTTAGGCTTGTGCGTCGCTTGAACCGAATTATCAGCCACCGGTGACATTTATCGTTGTACAGAAGCGTCACCACACTCGTTTGTTTGCTAATAATCACAGAGACAAAAGCAGTACTGACCGAAGTGGAAATATCTTACCAGGTTAGTTCTTGAAACAGTTAAAAGAAGATCATAGCCAAAACAACCAGCTAACTACTGCTTCTTTGCCACCTTTTATTTCAGGTACTGTAGTTGACACCAAAATATGCCATCCAACTGAATTCGACTTCTACCTTTGTAGCCATGCGGGTATTCAGGTACGATACAACTACCGAAAATATCCAAAATATGAACTTGTTCTATAGATAAGTAGACATACTAAACTTTTCATGTTTATTATCTGCTTTAGGGAACAAGCAGGCCTGCACATTACCATGTTCTTTGGGACGAGAACAAATTCACAGCGGATGGTATTCAGTCTCTGACTAATAATCTCTGTTATACCTATGCGCGATGCACTCGATCTGTCTCTATCGGTAAATAGTACATCTTCTCTTTTTCTTCATCCTTAAACTTGCATGTCAAACTCTTTGCTACAAAGTCATTCACATGTAACTCTTTGCTGTTGTATAGTTCCTCCGGCGTATTATGCCCATCTTGCAGCATTTCGAGCACGTTTCTACATGGAACCGGAGATAATGCAAGATAACGGATCACCAGGGAAAAAGAGCACGAAAACAACAACTGTTGGAGATTGCGGTGTGAAGCCTTTACCGGCTTTGAAGGAGAATGTGAAGAGAGTAATGTTCTACTGCTAAAAAATCCTACATCCCTAATAAGTAGTTTGGTCGTTTGTTCGTAGTCCGGCTTTAGATATTTTACCAATGTTTTACCTTATGTAAATTTTGTCGGTTTGGTATTTAGCTAGGAGTTTAGGGTATTATTAGGGTTTCTTTATAAAGTTTGTGTTTTAGCTGGCTGATGATAACATTACTGCAATGGCTTTGTTTAAGCCCTCCGCTTCTACAGTGGTTTGTTTAGTGCGGTTTCTAGATTGTTACGTCCTTGTAAGCTCTCTGTTTTAACCTTAAGAATGGTCTGATTAATTAGTGTAAAGGAGAAGTCTGTGTTATGGTAACCTAAAAATAAGTAGTTTCTCTAACTCTGTTTCATGTGAAAAAATTGCAAATCTTATCCCTAAATTTCTGAAAAAAAACAACTTTTTCAATTAGGAAAGTGAAAAGTTACATAATTTTGAGATAAGAAGGTTAAGAAGACCCATGAGGTTGGGATCTTGGACAAGCAGATCCATTGGTACGTACATAGAGAAACAGAGAACACTAATATTGTATTTGCTTCATGCCCAAGAAACTCTTCCTTCAATCGTACGTACTAGGGTTCGGAATGAATTGGTTCGATGGAAGGGAACTGTACATTCAACAACAATGTCAAAACTCCTCTTAAGCCGTCGTCCATACATCTCAAGACGTACAAAGTCATGTTGATCATCATGAATCTAGCATCATCCTCTTCGATTCCAACACCTAATAGGAAAAAGTAAAGTTCTTGTTTCTTCCATGGTTCGTCTTCCTCGAAGAATTTGTGTGGTGAGAAGGAGAATGAACTCTTTATTGGACCGAACTCATGTTCTTTGTGTATCTCTGTCTCGACGTTGATCGTCAAGTCCTTCGTGTCTTGTTCTTCTTCCTTGAGACGGTGATCAATTGAGAAACCAAGTAGAGGAGATGGATTGTTCATCGTTACGTTAGGTTTAAGTTTAGGGAATAATGATGAAGATGGTTTGGCCTCTTCTCTCTTTTATAAATATAATGAATCATTGATCATACTTGCCTTTTTGTTTTTGACAGGACTTGCCTTTTTTTATTAATTAGAAATTTCATTGACCAAAAACAAAAATTAAATAGTATTTTATCATGTAATTATGATGATAACAACTAATAAAATTTTAAAAAATAATTTTTATCAAACTAAATTTTGTAGTAATATGAAAAGTACCTAAATTTTTATTTAACCAAACTAAACTAAACTATCTTAGCAAAAAAAAAAGAACCAAATAAATTATGTAAACATTTGACTAGCAATTAATTTTTTAACTTAAATATACAACAATAATATAGAGTAATAATATAAGATTAATTACCTTAATATACTCATTACTAACCATTGCATCTTATGCTATTTAATTTTCTGAAAATTTTATTGTTATAATAGCAATATACATTTGAGAATTTTTGAGAAATTCCCCTTTTTCAAAATATCCATTTTATCTATTTATTTTCAAAAATATTATTGTTGGAATATGAAAGTTATAAACTTTTCAATGATTTATTAGACCACCATTAGTGAAAAACACTTGTTTAAATATGAAAAACGTTATTCATAGTTATGTTTTAAGATATTTAGATACATACTGTAGATATTTAATTATTTGCTAATAATGGATAGTGCAAGAAGGGATCATAAAATTATTAATTTCTTGAAAACTACGTTGAGTAGTAGGAATGATGATGCTTTCATGATGAATAGTGAATTTATAGATGTATGTTGTGGTGATGACATACTTAATTTCATTACAATAATATTTTCAAAGTCATTAACCTAGTTACATTCAGGATTAGGGTAATATAAATGTAAAAAGTATAAGAGTTATTGAGGTTTTTGATATTCTTTTTAGCTAGTGGGAAAACACATTTCTCCTTGACCTCTTCTTTACAAGAAAAAATTGAAGAAATTACATATACATTATCAGTGGGGATGTAGAAAAATATTTTGTATGGGGCACAAAATACATATAATTAATCATTTCAAACTTATATTATAAACATATATTTGGGATAATATTTAAGTATATTGAAAATTATTAATATATTTTAAAGTTTGAAATTGAAAAAGGAACCTAATCCAATAAAAACAGAACTTTCAAAAACATAGGCTCATTTTGTACATTTAATTACGTATAACATATATATATATATATATATTTAATTTCTTATTAAGAAACATTAAACAAATACAAAAGAGACTACTGTTGTTTAATGTTAGTAATTTATTAGGTTTACTAATAATTTTCAGAGAATAGTTTAATTGGAGAAAAACTAAAAAAGGCAAAATAACAAGAAACAGCCAAGATTCGAACTCTCATTCTACAAAGCACAAGAAGTGATCAATTGCCAATTGAGCCAAGAAAATTATATTATAGCTACTAACTAAAGTTTAAGGAGTATGAGGCACGTGCTCCACCCTTCTCTGTCCTAGATCCGCCCCTGTACATAATCTTGTGATTTATTCAAAAATCTTAGTAGATTCTTGTCTCACGTAGAACTTGGTAAAATGTTAGGTTTAGTATGTGTTTTGATGAAACGGAGAAGTTATCTCCTAAAAGAACAAAACAACGATCACACTATAGTAGATTTCAAGGTTGATATCATTTTTTCATAAATAAAAAAATTTAAAAGCAATGAAAATTTCGATGATACACTGAGATTGATGCTAGAAAAAAAAATCAAAAAGATTCCACAAAATGAAAATCAAAATAATTACCAATATATTGAGTGAGAGACATAAGTTTTTAGAAAAGTAAAACGATAACACAATCTTTTGAGAAACGAACCGAGAGAGAGTAATATGGTGCATCTCACATATTTTACTCTTTCTTAACTCAACTATTTTTCCATTTTTACAAATAGATTAAAATAACATTTAGGGAGTGTTATTCAACCTTGTATTTTAATTGATTTGGATGTATTTCAAAATCTAGCGTTATTTAATGATGTATTTTAAAAACCACAATAAAATCTGCTGTTATTGGATTTAACATTTGTTGGATGTATTTTAAAGTATTTTAAAACAAGCGTTATTCAATTTTCAATGGATTTTGTTTTCTTTAAGATTTTAATGTATTTTACATCTAAAACACGTACAAACACAATCCTAACATTTTTCAAAGTATTTCATCTCTTTCATACCAAATCCATCTTAATTGTATTTGAAGGCTATTGAACTTTAAAATCCACGCATAATTAAAATCCCTTAAAATTATCCATCCAATAACACCCCCTTAGATTGAATTAAATTATTAACCAGTAACATATATTAAGTACAGGAAAATTATCTTAAATACCATAAAAATACATATTTTCCAAAAAATACCATTATAAAATATCATAAAATACATTTTTTTTTCCAAAAATACCACAAAACTAAAACCATCTTATACTTTGTTCTCATTCTAAACCAATCACTTTGGTAAAGGACTCTCTTCCTTTGGTTATCCATTGAACCGAACATAAACCGGAAACCAAAGTAATTAAACCAGTAAGGGATTAACCCTAACTAAACCGGGTTGAAACATTTCAATTACAATTCCGATTCTCACACAGTCGCTTCTTCTTCTTCTTCTTCTTCTTCTTCTTCTTCTTCTCCATTGATACTTTCCCAAGCAAAGCTTCTTCAATCTTCCTCGTAAGTTCTCTTTAATCTCTCTGTATTCCTATAATTTGTTTTTCGGGTATTAGGAGTGATTAAGTTTAACTCACTGTAATCGCAAAACTCTTAGATTTTTGGAAATCAAGTGATTATGCTTAGGAGATGGAACCTAGTTATGGAATCACTCCGTCGCGTTCATCGCACTGATCTAGAAACCCTAGTTTCGTGTACTATACTCAATCGCACAATTTGCACAGCTTCAGAACAGTTGAACCATGGTGTTCTTGATGAGAGCTATGTTCTATCTGAGTTATCTTCATTGCTTCCAATTTCATATAATAGAACCTCAGTGGCAAAGGAAGAAACAGTTTCGAGGAATCAAGAAACAGCTATTGATTTGTTTTTGTCGCCTGAGGAACGAATTAGAGGTGTGTTTCTTCAGAAATTGAAAGGGAAATTTGCAATACAGAAGAGTTTGAGTAGTCTTGGGATTGGTTTGAGTATTGAGATTGTCGCCGATGTTGTTAATCGAGGGAATTTAAGCGGTGAAGCGATGGTTTCGTTTTTCAATTGGGCGATTTGTGAGCCTGGTGTATCTAAAGATGTTGATAGCTACTGTGTGATATTGAGAGCGTTAGGAAGGAGAAAGTTTTTCTCTTTTATGATGGATGTTTTACGGGGAATGTTGTGTGAAGGTGTTAAACCTGATCTGAGGTGCTTGACCATTGCTATGGATAGCTTTACTAAGGTTCATTATGTGCGTAGAGCTATAGAGTTGTTTGAGGAAAGTGAAAGTTTTGGTGTGAATTGTAATACTGAGTCTTTCAATGCTCTGTTGCGGTGTCTCTGCGAGCGTTCTCATGTGACTGCTGCGAAATCGGTGTTTAATTCAAAGAAAGGTAATATACCTTTTGATGGTTTGACTTATAATGTTATGATTAGTGGGTGGTCGAAGCTCGGTGAGATTGAAGAGATGGAAAAGGTTTTGAAGGAGATGGTAGAGAGTGGATTTGGTCCTGACTGTTTGTCTTACAGCCACCTTATCGAAGGGTTGGGAAGAGCTGGTCGTATCAATGATTCTGTTGAGATCTTTGATAATATAAAACACAAGGGTAGTGTTCCTGACGCAAATGTTTACAACGCTATGATCTGTAATTTCATATCTGCGCGAGATTTTGATGAATCTGTGATGTACTACCGAAGGATGCTGGATGAGGAATGTGAACCTAACTTGGAAACCTATTCCAAGCTTGTTTCTGGGCTCATTAAAGGGCGTAAGGTTTCTGATGCGCTTGAGATATTCGAAGAGATGTTGTCAAGAGGCTTTCTTCCCACCACAGGGCTCGTTACCTCTTTCCTCAAGCCGCTTTGTAGCTATGGTCCACCACACGCTGCAATGGTTATCTATCAGAAATCAAGAAAAGCTGGATGTAAGATATCAGAAAGCGCATATAAGCTGTTGCTGAAGAGGCTATCAAGATTTGGAAAATGTGGGATGCTGTTGAACGTATGGGACGAAATGCAAGAGTGTGGATATCCTTCTGACGTGGAAGTATACGAGTATATTGTGGATGGGCTCTGTATCATTGGGCATCTAGATAATGCTGTGCTTGTGATGGAAGAAGCCATGCGTAAAGGGTTTTGTCCAAACCGCTTTGTTTATAGTAGGCTTAGCAGTAAATTAATGGCTTCAAACAAAACAGAATTGGCTTATAAGCTGTTTCTGAAGATCAAAAAGGCTCGTGCTACAGAAAATGCTCGCAGATTCTGGCGATCAAATGGATGGCACTTTTGATCTTTAATTTTTTGTTGTATGTTCACGGGGAGACTAGAATATGACTCTAGTCTTCGTAGAAGTGAAAATATGATGTACATTATCACATATTTAGTCAATGAACTTGTAATAGAGTACATTTAGAGTTACATTCATTAGGGATCGGTTTGCATTCTTATTTTAATAAACCCCTTCTAGTGGATGGCTTAAACCCAAAGGCATACTTGTCTGTTTCTAGGTGGTAATAGTGAGATTCCTAGAGTGTGTTCTGAATGGAGGCAGTAATTAAGAAATGGCAGCAGAAGTTCAGAAAAGGGAAGGACGAGATGGAAAAGTGGGATGCACTTCAAGTTCGATGGGTTTCCCTCTTCAGAAACGCTTCTTCTATCATCCAGAGATTACAGGTAGCTAGAATCTTTGTGTTTTTGTTGTCAGCAATTTCAAAACCGCATGTGTGATTTTTTGGGTTTGAGAATAGGAAATACAAAATCATGGGAGCTATGGAGCTTTGAGATGTCTGAAAGGGATTGAAGACGCAGTTGTGCAGCAACAGATGGGTCAACTGGACTATCTATTGCGTTCCATGAGAAATGTTCTGTAAGTATATGGACGAAAGAAAGGTTTTACTTTAGAATTTTGCTAGAATTAGTGTTTTGGGATTACTGAAACATATAATATAATGGGTGATGATGTCAGGGAGGAATTCTGGGGCTGTGTTTTGACATTAAAGAAGCTACATCGAGACGGTTTGCATTTACTTGAAGTTGAATCGAGCAAGAGGCGGGTAAAGGAACGAATTGGAGTAAAACCTTGCATTGCTGATTGCTTGGAGGGGCTTTCTATCCTCTTTGACATGCATCAATCAGAGTGAGCAAACAGAACCTGCTTTAGTTGTTGAGTTATAATCATATCATTATTTAACCTTTGATGCTTTGAAATTCTCGCAGATACCATCTCAAATCTTCAATTATTTCCGCACTTTCGTGTCTCATCCTGAAACCAAGGTACTGAGAATAATGCCTTCGTTAAAACTGCGGCAATAATTAGAGCATTTCACTTACGTTCTTGTTTTTGGTGTTTAGTCCTGGTGATCTAAATGCACTACAATACCTCGTGGTTGATCAGCCAAATATCCCGAAAGACGAAGGTACCATACTGACAAAACCTTGCATTCTTTTTCGAGTGTTATGAGTAGAATGAAAATGTTTGTACATTTCTTAAATGTAAATTTGTCTAGAGAGTTCCGAGTCTGATTTTAGCTTCTCTGATATCTTCTACTGTGCAGTACAACACATTTTCGATGTCATTTTCGCAGAAGAGATCAAATGATGTAAGAAGGAACTAATCTTTCCGGATCCGCGATAAAAATGTGACGAGTGCTAGCGGGTTTGCTTGATTTTGTTAGTTTGATAAAGTAAATTAATTAATGAAGTGTTGAAAAGTCAATAGAATGTGAAGAAATTTTAGAAACAAAGTGGTGAAGAGAAAAATGAGAGGCGCATTACCAAACTCTTATTACACTTCTTCTTGTTCGTTCTCTTAGTTCTGTTTCGTCTTGTGTTCTCGATCAATACTGTCGTCTACAGAAACGCTAACAATCTCAAGCAACCGAACATTCTCTGAGAGAACTTATGCATGGGTTGCCAACAGAGACAATCATCCTCTTTGCAAATCATTAAAGATCTCTTACACTAACCTCATCCTCCTTGGTCATTCTGATACTTCTGTCTAGTCAACGAATCTGAGTTTAATCTTTGCAAGAAAGAGTTTATGTTGTGACGATCCGTTCCATGGAACGGAGTTGGCTTTAGTGGCATAGAAGATGCAAAATTGGAGCTACTTCGACGCTATAAACAATTTCATAGAGAACAAGAGAGGAAGATACTTACAGTTTCAGTTTCACCAACCAAAGCTAATGCATGTCTTAGATCTCTCTGCAGTGTAAGATAACAACTTACACCAAACACAAACGCGCTTCTTCTTCTCCTCCTCACTACTTATAAGATGTTAGATTCTTGGAAACATTCCTCTGCCAAGACCAAAAGCATACCTGATTCAAGTCGTTTAATATAAAAAGAAAAGTTTCTCTTGCGGGAGAATACGGTGAAGGATTGGTGGGATCAAAGCTTCTCCAAGATCCTTGAACCCCCACTAATCCCCACCGGGTTCTCTCGCAACAAAAACCTTATCCTTTCCAGAACGACTTGAATAAGATATGCTCTTTTTCTTGACAGAGAAATTTCCCCTAGAACCAAACATCTTCTTGGGTAATGAGAAGGACAAGAAGAAGTGCGTTTGAGTTTGGTGTAAGTTTTTTTTTCTTGCACCGCATGGAGACTTGTGGAGAGAGTTTCAAGGCTACACGGGAACCACTTGCTTTGACAAGAAGAAAGCTAAAAATATGTTATGTTGAAAAAGAAACAGAAAATATATAGATTCTTCAGTAAAGAGCAAGTTCAAACCTATTTAAACTTGAACGAGAGAAAAGAAACAGAAATTTTATTTTATTGTAACGTCTTAGTACTATTGATTAGAAAACGTTTACAAAATGGCCAAATAAACAACTCCTCGAGTTATGACTTATGAAAACTGCAACTTCTTAATTCACATAAGCTTATAAGTTATAACCGTTCATAAGAGTTTCCAATGAAACAACACAACATACAGTATGTTAATACACATACATACTCAAAAGACCAAACTCAGTTATCACTAAACAGTCTAACTGAGTTGAGTTTCTAGCCTCGTTATGTTTTTTCACTTCCTTTTTTCATGTGGTTTGTGAAGCCACTATCATCCAACTAGATATTTTCTTCTTTATTTTGTGATTCTTAAAACAAAAGTGGTGTGGTGTTTGTAAGAAGAACAATCACACATAAGCCGACTGTTAAAGCAAACAGAACACGGTTTATTGGCAGAAAGGTTCAAGGAACAAGAAAGAATGTCACAACTCTCGAATACAAGTTGGACATTTCTCAAGAAAATGTTGTTCGAAAAAAAAATACGAACGAGCTCTTTCGAATTCGTGCGATACCAACAGCACAAATGGTGCAGTGTGAAGATTTCGAGTCAAGTATGCATGAAGCTTGTTTTCTCGCATGGAAGAAACCACAATCATACCAAACGTTTAGAGACAAATGCATAAAGAGACACCATGAGTGAAAATATTAAGATGATATAAAATAATTATCATTTACCATATGCTTTTGTTTATAGTTTATGTTGGACTAATTTGAATACATTAATAAATGGAAATTTACTTAGATATAACACATTTTAGTCTAAATGACCAGAATCTGATAAATCTTTTTTTTTATAACTTAGATATTTCAGGTTTTTTTTTTAATTCCCAGCGTGCCCTTCTTACACATTATAGGAAAACCGTAATTACGAAAAATAACATCGCCACGTCAGATGCCACATCAGATTTTTGGCGCGTCTTAAATAATTCAGCCATAATGCGCCAAACTGTTAGTTACGGCTGAACTTATGTTACATTACGGCTGAACTTATGTTACGTTACGGCTGAGTTATTGAAAACGGTTGAGTTTCGGGCCAACGGCTTACTTACGGACATAACTCAGCCAACATTTACGACTGACTTATATAAATCTGGTTGAGTTATGAGCAAACGGCTGACTTAGGCGCATAACTCAGCCGTAGTTACGGCTGAGTTTTATTATGATGGTTGATTTATCAGAAATTTGGCTGAGTTATGTCTTCGACATGGCTGACTTAACTTTTATCCGGTTGGCTGAGTTATCGACAACGACTGAGTTATCAAATGTCGTTACGGTTGACTTATGTATCATAGACGTAACTCAGTCGTCATTGGCTGACTTAACGAAAAACTCAACCATGTTACGGCTGACTTATAGGAATAAACCAACAAATATGCTCTATTTAAGTAATTCTTTCGTTAATAAAAGATGGATATAAGAACTTAGTAGTATATTTATATGCCTCTGGCTACTTGATTACCAAAAACAAATCGGTAACAATCAAATTACAAAAAACGCATAGAAACATCAACACGAGGGAATATGAATTTTAAGACTCCAAAGAGACGGGAGCACCAATATTGCTCCCAACTCTACGGACACAATCGTTCCATGTCTGTTTGCTTTTTGGAATACCCTTAGAGGCATAGCTTTTATACTCATACGTTGTGAATATGATCTTAACCAATCCGAGATGACAATCTTTGCCAATCTTCAGTATATCGCGACAACATTCATCTGTGATTTGAGGTGTATCAACCAACATGTTCTTGAAAACCTCATCTCCGCATTTCGTGTTTTGCTTTTTACCGCAAGCCGCGAGGAATTCGAGCTGTTCGTGCGAGTAATGGTGAGCAAGCTCCCTGTCGTATTCCTCAGCGGGTGAATCAGCTTCATCGAATGGAGCTTCTTCAGGTGATTCGACGTAAATTTCGAAATCTGATGGAGACATGGCCACATCTTCTGGTACCTCTTCTGAATATGGATCGATTATTTGGGATAAAACTGGACGAGCCATGTAAAACATTACTATGGAAACTAGCATTACCATCAGAAGAGACTTTGCCATTTTTGCTTTTGGTTTTGGATGTAAGATTAATGTGAGATTGGTGACAAGAGAGACAAGAGATGTTTTATAGAGAAATCGTTAAAGTGGTAAAACGGTTTATTCATTAATAGTTTTCTTTATGTTACAAACTTCATAAACCTCAACATGCATAGTTCAAGAACGTTTACATTATTAAAGACTTGTAAGATCTTTACAAGTTAAAACGTTTAAAGAAGAACATGAGTAGATTTTAGATCTTCAATTAGATAAAATTGGTGCATATAATGAAACACATGTAAAAATGGTGGTGAACCAAAAACTTTATTTATTTATTGATATAAGAAACGCAAACAGAGAAACAAAAGTCTTGTCTCGTGGTTCCAAAGTTTCACAAAAACTCTGACATCTATTCTCAAATCCCAACTCAAACATGTACATAAACGCAATAGAGAGTGAGAGAACATTGTGGTGTGAAATATTGTCTCAATGTTGTAACTCAAAACATGTAAAACGAAAGAGATGGGACAAGACAAAGAGGGGAAGATGTTGAGCTTTGTGATTTATATGTATGATCTTCCGGTTTAGATATGACCGGCCCAATTTTGGGAGCTATCGACTCTAGGCATTTTGGTACTCTCTCTCTTAGTCTCAGCGTCAACCTTGAATGTTGCACCACACACGTCTCCTGAACTGTCTACTCTCGGCACTGGCTTCAACTCGTTCTTTGGGTGCTCGAAACTCCTCAATCCTCCAGACGATGTAAAGAAGCAACCTTTCAAACACCAAAAACAAAACCATGTAATCATTTAGTCAACTGCTATATAACAATCACACAAACCTATCAAAGTCTTTTGACTTGATTTTTCTGTTCCATCTATATTTATACATAATAAAGCATTCAGCATCAAACTTGACTTCAGAGTTTCTTTTTATTTTCTCGTGGTTGTTGTATATGGGTTAACAAGACTATAAATAGCTTATACCGATCATACTGATGGGTAAAGTTCAAAAGAGTCTAAACATATAGAGTGAAGTAGAGTGAAGTTGTTACCTTTAGGGAAAGGACCATAAGACTTAGAGCAACCTTTCTTCATCATCTCAGTGTTATCAGAAAGAACAAGATGCCCTTCAGCATCATTACCCCAGAAGAACGGCACACTCCCATCAGCATCCTGCACATTGATAAACCAATCAAATCCATAACATAATGCTAACATATAAGCGAATAACGTAATACATGGAGATCAAGAAATGGACAAGAATGTGACTTACAGCAGCAGCGAAGACGGTACTCTTAGCACCATCGAAAAGGATAAACGCAAACTTCCCATGGAAATCTCTGACAACTTTGTCCACAGGGTAAGGGCCTCGATCACGCAATGTCCTGTAAGCCTCAATCACAATGATGGCCTCGTTTGTGATTTTGTTCAACCCATACTGCTGCTTCAGCAACGGAAGGTTCTCAATGTGTCCTTGGAAGAGACAGAAAATGTCATCCACCACAGCAAATAATCTGTCAAAATCATCCAAAAGAAACCAAATATACAAAATCAAGAACCACAAATTACTCAAATCTTAGTCTAGATCTTTTCAATCATCTTAAATCAGCGACAATAACACCATCATCATCTTCATCATCATCAAGGGTAGTTTGTAAAATCTCTAATTCCGGATTCTACCAAGAATCTTTAGTTACTGTTCATCATCATCATCATCAACTTTAGAACCATCGCAAGCAAACCAAAAACCATAACTCCAAGATCGCAAGAACACCAAAAAAAAGTCAATACAAGTAAATCATCAGCGTAAACAACGAGCGAAACTATCATTAATTCGCATTCTACCAAGAATCTTTAGTTACAGTTCATCATCATCATCATCAAGCTTAGTACCATCACAAGCAAACCAAAAACCATAAATCCCAGATCGCAAGCACAACAAAGTAAATCATCAGCGTAAATAGCGAACGAAACTATCATTAACCACAAATCAAACCGATCTGATTCCAGAAACTAAACAAAATCGAAACCGAAACATAAAAATCAAATTTGACTTAGATCAAGAACAAAATCAAAGAGAAGAGGACTTGGGAATAACCTAGGAACACGAGGATCACGGTTATCAAGAGAGTAAGCAACAAATCCAGAAGATCCGAAGTTAAGCGTGACGGAGTTTGGATTCACAGAAGCGAAATGAGCCGAGAGAGATCCGTCTTTCAAAGCGTAAGTAGACTCAGAAGAGTGTGGACTCTGTAATGCTTCTGGGCTAGTCGCCACCGTCTTCTCAAACACAGCCAGCATTTTTTTTTTCTTTTCTCAGTGATTCTCGGAAAAAAAAAAAAAAAATCTACAGATGGAGAAGAAAAATGATGAGAGAAGAAAGAAAAAAAAAAGTATTGTGAGAAAGACCGGGAAGGCTATAAAGAGAATCTTGTAGGACGATGTGAGTTTACGATATTACCCTTTTGGTATCGACACGTGTCTTAAATCGAGTGGATGATATAGTTTTCGATTTTATTTTTTTCCCATTGTTAATAAATTAGATGGATAATAATATATTTTTTGTTAATTTGTTGGATAATTGTGGCAGTGTAATAATATGAAGGGTCCTGATATTAAATTAAATAGACCAACAATAAAAGAAAAAGAAAACATATTTAAATGTATATTATTTGTGTAAATATTAGGTGATATCAGTATTTATTACAAGGTTTTTTTCTGGTGTAATTAGAGAGATAATTAGTCCTAAGATGGAGGAATTAATTGGTAACGTATGATTAATTTTAAAAAAAGAAAAGCTTGATTTAAGGGAAGAATCGAATCTAGATGGTACTAATGAGGATAAGATTTTAATAAATAAAAAAAAGTCATGAAAATGACGTGGCGAGTACGTGCACTCGATATTCTTAATTATTATTTTATTTCTTTTAAAAAGCTAAATCGAGGGAAGCCACATGGGTCGATTCGTCACGCGTTTCGATCGATACTTGTAACCGACTTTTTTATTTTTGCGTATTCCAAGTTGGTTTTAACATTTGACAGCATAACTATGATTAACGATTTTAAATTTGTCTATAATTGTAATTAAAAATATATATATATATATATATGGTTAGCAAAAGATTTCGTTTTTTGGATCGGTTTCGGTTCGTTTGTCTTCAATTTCGGTTTTCGGATTGGTTTTGGTTTATTTTTTTAATTTGATTTTGTTTTTGGACCGGTTTTGGTTGGTTTTTATTCGATTTCGATATTTGGGTTTTAGGATTTAAGATTCGGTTCTGGAATATAAGTTTTATTCAATATGTTTGAGTTTTTCAAATAATTTAGAGTAAGTTTAGTAAGTATTTTAGGGTGCTTTTTTTATGATATTACATGGTCTAAATACAGTTTATGTCATTGGATATATTTTTGGTATTTCGGTTCGGTATGATTTTTGTTCTAGTTCTGGAGTCACTTTGGAACATGTTTATCTATGAGGTAATTTGCGGTTTGGACAGTTGTTACAAAAGTAATCAGTGGTTTTGACCTTGCACTATTTATAATTGGCCAAACACAACAAATTCTATGTTCACTAAAACTAAAAGTAGGCCTGGGGCGGAGCCGGATATCCGGCCTTTTTTAGGATATCCGGATCCGTATCCGTATCCGGCGGATTCGTTGGTTTAATATCCGGTTCCGGATCCGTTCTCCCGGATATCCGGATACCGGATATTCGTATTAAAAACAGGATATCCGCGGGTATCCGTATCCGGTATTTTTAATTATTTTTTTTAATTTTTTAAAATTATCATAAATTTTTTTTAAAATTATCATTAATTTTTTAATTAAAAAAAAAATGTATTAATTTTTAATTTAAAAATAATAAGAAAAACAATTTTTAATATATAAAAATAAGAAAAAAATATTATATAATATTAATATTAATAAATATTAATAAAAATAATAATAAAATATTAAAAATGCCGGATCCGGATATCCGGTCTAAAATTTTCCACTATCCGTATCCGTATCCGGCCGGATCCATTATTTCACTATCCGGATCCGGCTCCGCCCTATCCGGATATCCGGTTTTTCGGAGCGGATCGCAACAGATCCCGGATCGGGTCACGGATGTCGGATAATTGGTCTCAGGGCTAACTAAAAGTACCTCTCCTTCTCTACCCTCACCGGTTCTCTCGAATTACACTTATATCTATATTAACATTTGTGGAGCAATTTTAAAAAAAACCCCTCACTTTCCTCAACTTGTTTACAATCTTCTGCCACTGCATTTATTAATTTAAAAATTAGAAAATAAACATTTACGAAAACATTTACAAAACACTAAAAATGAAAAACGAGCCCAACTAAATCAAGCCCAAATCATTGTCACTCCAACACAAGTACCGCCATTACTTCCGGAGAAATAATTTCTCTGCGTATATCTCTGCGTATCTCACCCCCCATATCTTCGTATACTTGATTTGGAAATACGCTTCATTCACGCACAAATTTCGCAAATGATTTCCATAAAATATATCTTAATTGCTAGCAACTCAATTAATAGCTGCTCATCGTCATTATCTAATATCAAAACTAGAAAATCACATCAACGAATAAAATCAATACTGATTTCTATATACCCGGAATTACGCTAATTCTTTGATTCTCAAATTTATTCTTCACATAAGATCAAAACTACCTTATTCAGTCATCGGACTACTATAAATACGTGCGATTCGCCGAGGTAAATACACACGAAAGCAACTAAGAAACTCAGCTTACTGATACTTGCTTTCCCTTCCTTCTCATCAATGGCTGCAACATTTGCCTTCCTGAAAGACGTTCGACCATACAAAACAGCGTGGCGAGTACAAGTCAAGTTGCTCCATTCCTGGCGATCGTTCACACAAAACACTGGCCAAACGTTAGAGATGGTTCTCTCTGATGAAATGGTAATTACTTTATACTCTATCAATAAACGTTCCAAAATTTAAAAATACACTAAAGATGGGAAAACTAAATTGCTGTTCAGACCAACCAACCATCTTTACAAGATGGCATTCATCACTGGAACTGTGGTAATGCCTTGTGATCCGAAATCTGAATCTTACTTTCT